ACAGAGCTTTCTGGGCTGTGTCAATGTGGCCCCATTAGGATAGGCTGCGTCCTTAATCGAATCACTTCTGAGGGGGAGCGAGAAGGAACAGCAGGCAGAGAGAGACAAACAAGTATGAACGGGAAAATAGATGCCGCATGCGGACCGTCCAGGAAGCCGGGCACAGCGGGGCCACAGGGGCTGAGACAAGGGTCTTTGCCCAGCACCAACACAGGAACTGGTGCCCTGACGTGACTTTCTAGCCTCCTAAACGGAGAGTAACTCTGCTCTGTTCTGTAACAAAATCTATTTCTGTGGCCGGTCACAGCGGCCTGAAGAAGCCAGCACACATCTGAAAACGTATCGAGGGGCTCCTCATCGCTGTGCCCATGTGGGAGAATAAAAGCAAGTGTCGGATGATGAGGACATGGTTGTGACCTCCTGGGCCCCTGGGGATCACTCACGTCCACCAAAATGCCACTCATTTCTGTGACGGCCAACAGAGGGCAGAGTGCAGGGAGCGGACCATCACCGGCTCTACCCCACTGGGCACGTCCTGGCCCCTGCTTCTCCAGGCTGGTCCTGGCGCTCTCCTGTAGGACACCCCCAGGCCAGGGCTGGTGCGGGGGGCGGATGGGGCACCCCCACCACCAAGGGCCTCCTCAGGGGCGACCTCTCCTCTTAACGTTCTCCCCAGTGAGGCGTAATCACACACAGCCCAGGCAAATGCCACAAAAGCCAAACCCACTGCTTCGAGCCAATTCCATCTCCCAACTCCAGGACCGAGAACCGTCCATCGGGTTCCAAGGCTGTGAATCTGTATGGGAGCAGACGGCCTCCTCTCTCTCCCGGGGAGTGGCCAGCGCGGCTTCCTTTTGGTTAGCAGACAAGCTCTTTCAGCGCTGTGTCACCAGCCACCGGACCCACTGCCATCGACATAGCACATCCCTATAGGGTTGCCAAAGAGTATGCTGACAGCCTCGTCTTTCTCTTTGCTGGGGTGGGGGTGGGTTTGAACCCACAACCTGAGGTTGCTAGCCTAATTCCTAACCCACAGCGCCATCAGGGCCCGTCCAGGCACACAGCCACGTTCCTCAAAGGACTTGAGACTGGTGTGCCACTTCCAGCCTTCAGTACACTACAGGTTGCTTGTGTTTTTGTTTTGTTTTGCTTTTGTTTCATAAATGCTTGTTATCTTGTGAATAGCACAGTCACACTGCTCTATGTGGGTGTTAAAAGCGTTACTCTGTTCAAAGTAAACATTCAAAATACATTACAACTCAGCAGCCCTGTGTTTTCCTTTCAATATTGTGGGAGTTTCGAGCATTGGGATGGACAGGGCCATCCCCACCCATTGCCACTGGGCTCTGCTGTGACCTGAAGGGGGTGCCACATCTTGGGCCTTGGCCCCCAGGGCTCTGGAGGGCCTGAGCCTTCCTGCCCCTGCCAGCCAGCAGCAGATGGGCACAGCAGGTGGGAGCCCACCTCCTGCTGCTCTGCTGGGCACTCCAGCCAGAGATATGCCCATGGTGACCCCCAAGGCGAGGGTGCAGGCCAGGGGACTTCTCAATAGGATGAGTCCATCTTGTGCAGCAGCTTCCGAATCAAAAAGATATGAAACAGATGTTGGGGCCGGGGCCAGGGGCCAGAGAGGAGTCCTTGTGCTCAAACTGGTACCTCCCTGATGATGGGGACAGGTGGGCAGGCCTCCAGGAGGAGGCAGCAGCAACTACCAGTGAGGAAGCTGGTCCTCACAGCCCCAAACCAAACCACTCAAATTAATCTCCGGGGAGGGGGATCTTTGGTCCCCTTTGGGTCACTTGCTCCTAGTGGGATTGGAGTTCTGGGGAGTTACTCACAGAAGAACCCTCAAAACCAACACTTATCTGTCCCCTGACCCATCTCAGGTCTGACTCTTCCTAAATCTAACCCTTCTCTTGTTAGGCCACTGAGGAGGTGAGCTGCTAAGACCACAGGACTACCAACACATCCAACCAGTTACCCTCAAGTCGACCCCAGCCCAGGGCGAGCGAGCCGAGGGGGCCGATGTTTCACATGTAGATCACTGGGCCTTTCTTCCAAAGTCCCTCTGGTGGCCCATTTCATTTGGCAGTCAAATGCCCAGCAGTTCACACCACCCAGGGGCTCCCCACTCGCTCCTGGACCAGGGCGATTTCCTCTGCATCTTCTCTCCACCCGCTGTGATTACGGAGGGATGGACGGGTTTCATGGTGGCGGGAAGGTGGAAAGAAAGCTCAGCCGAGAGAGAGGAGACGGACCCACGGACAGGCTGGCTCGTCTGTACACTACTGGACAGCCAGGACCAGTCCAGTATCATCTCTGGGTCTCTGCTTACTCATCGGTGGTACCCGAGGGAGTCGAGATGGATAGGCGGGATTGCCTGTCCTGTGAACTTTAACACCTGATCCTGACCCTGCAGAGTTGTACGAGGAAGGCAGGTATGGCTGGCAGACCAGGAGCTGGAGCGTGACCCTGAGGTGGGAGGCCTTGAACCTGGCAGGTGGTAAGTGGACCCCCACCTTGGTTTTGTCAACAAGGCAGGGAGGTGGGGCACCACAATTGGACCAATACATCCCCCAG